TTCAGAGAATTTGGCAAGTTTAACAACAAAGTTTGATCCAGGTACAATAAACAGTACTGACAGGAAAAGAGGCTAAATAGTTTAAATGTTAAACTATTTTTGGACAACATTAGGAAACCGTGAACACATATTAGTCACAGGTAATTCATCATCAGTGCTCACTGTGAGCTGAGGTGCACTTTGAGCATCAATGCATTAGGCTCGAAATGATGATTTAGTGCATTACTGTATGGTTATTATAGGAGTAGGAGAAAACACAGCATCAATCAGACAGTTAGGAATGAAAATGACTGAAATTTCCCATCTATTTTTTTTGTTGCTATGTGATCAATAGTTTCCTGAGTGCTTAAAAATAATACAGCACTAAAAACAGACGTTACACTGGCAGGGAGGGAGCGAGAAACAAAAATCTACTGTAGGATTTCAGCAGTGCACGGACAAATATACAAACAAGCTTCCATCAGTTCCAGCCCATCTATAGCCCTAATTCAATTCCCCTTTTAGCCGTGTGTCATTGAGATTCAATCGGAATGAGACGGTCCCCAGCTCAGCAGAATAGCATGGACCCACGGGGACCAATAAAAAAGTGACACACAAAAGGCAGGAGGAATTTATTGGCACGTCAATAAAACTAAATGAATCAATATGGACGAGATGGTGGGGGAGGGAGCCGCATGCAGCCGCTTCTTAGTCCAGCACGCAGAAAAGGACATGTCCACATGAGCAAACTGAATACTGTGTCATTTCTCAATAAATGCACACGTGTGTTTGCATATGTATCAGAACATTAGAGAGTATTTGCATATGCTTAGTCCGCACAGTAATTTAGATACAGTGCAGAAAATATAGTATATGATGTTATCTGACATCTGCAAACCATTTCATGGTTATACAGTTATAAAAACATACAGTCAATCAGAAACAACTATCCATGTTGTCTACAAAATACTAATAAATAACAATGCAGGCACAGCTATGACTTAAATTGAAGATTAAAAAAGAAAAGCTGAAAGTAACATCTCACCTCTAATCCTGCTATATTCATAACTGATCTTACATCTGTGTGTTTCCCATAAAAACTGCTGAACCGATGGACAAAAATTTGGCATTAATTAATACATTTGTACCATATCTCTAATTCTCTCGATAGATTTTCATACAGAGAATATGGACATGAATATAAATGTATTTAAATAGCTTTCAGCAGTGCATTTCTGGATTAAAACGTACAACAAACAGAACTTAATGTGGTGCCATTCTCACATGTGATTATCCGATGGTGTACCACAGGGATCCAGTTTTGTGCCACTATTGATTATAGAGTCTAATTGCATAAATATGTCCAATTGTATCTTTGACATTCATTCTAACATCAGCTCAATAATATTAAAAAGAAAAATGGTAAAAGGGTGCATTGGAAATGTGTGGACGCTGGCATTAGGATCATTTTAAATGTGTAAAAACCTTTTCAAAAAATCTGACTCATTACATTGGTTAAAATTATTTTTCATATCATGACATACTTTTTTGAGTAGGATCCCTTAAAATTAGTTAATACTTTTTTTTTTTTTTGCCTCGAATACTGTACATAGAGTAGGCCATTTTAAGATTTAAAAATAAACTTCTCTGAGCTCTCTGGTGGACAAACTGTGTAATGAAGACAACATTCCTTATTTATCTTGCCCATTTAGAACATTTAATGCTCAGGCTATATAAAAAATTCATTACAATTTTTTTTTTATCAGAATAATAAAAATGTTTTAGCTTTCCTAACATTTTACTATCTTATGGAGTCATACAACATATTTATTTACATATATGCTTGGCATTGTGATTATAATCTGACATTATAAAAAGGTAGAGAGATAATGAATCAATCTGTATGACTTGCTCCTCCCTGCACTTAATATTTATTATAATTATCTATATTTGTCATTTGTTTGATTTTAACCTGCACAAATAAAAACCAAACTCAACAACTGTGCCAATGCTACACATCTGGCTCCAAAGTTCAGAGCAGAGGGCGGCTGCGAGACGAGGTTTAGTTGATTCTTAAAATGTACATGATTTGAATTCCCCTCACGACACGGCAAAGTACAACCACACTGGTACTGCTGCTGACTGCTGGTTGCCACGGCAACCATCTACTGATTGGTCAGGTGGTTCGGTGGTTTGTTGGCAGAGAAACAGAGACAAGAGAGTGTGAGAACAGGAGAGGAATAGGGAGGGACGGAGACTAAAATAAAGCAGAGGATACAGACAGAAAATAAGACGTCTCTCAGATGCCGCCGAGAGTCGAGCTGTCTGCGTTAATGGCTCGTCTCCGAGACTCATTATCAAACGGCATTTTGCTCAAATTTATAATTCATGACAAGGAGGACCTCGTCAACAATTCAACCGCTAGCTACTACAAAGCTGTTTTTGGACACATTTCCAAAGGTTCAGGAAGATGTGTGGATTTGATGAGCTGCAGAAACACATGAGTCCACAGTGGAGCTGATACACACTTTTCATGGATTTTCACACTATAGTCACTAGACATCCGAAGACATTCACTATTTCTGCCAACGTAAAGGAGCGCTGCTGCTGCTGATTGCTGCTCAGTCTCACTCAGGAGGAACACACCCATGGAAAAATGTCCCAACACACTGGCCAAATGAGCTGACAGGAACTGGCCCGCAATCAGTCTCAATGTAATTTAAAGGGAAAGAACACAGCTTGTATTATTTTTTTGATAGAAACGCCAACATTTGTCACAAGTTTATTAGTGAGAATAGTTTTGGCTTTACTGTCAAGAGTTACACAAAAGATTTGGCATCGTTCTCAGGTTTGTTTGACAAATGTCCAGCAGGATGTTCGCTTAACTTGGCACAAAGACTGGAAATGAAAGAAAAAATGGCTAAAAAATTTGCTTATCAGCATTAAGGATTCCACACAGAAAGGTCCCATCTGTCTGTCTGGTGGGTTTAATCCACCAATTAACATATTATATATTTGTTAAATTCAAGTATAAACCAGCACTGATGCCAGCTAAGAAATAGCTCAGTACTAACCACCATCAGTTGTTTTTTACACTGCTTTTTGTACAGTTTACAGGTGTTTTTAGGTATATTTTCTGACCTTTGGACACATCCAGGCTCGACATTTCCCTGCTAAGCTAAGCCGTCACATTATATTTATGACACAGACGTGAGTGTGATATCGATTTTCTCATCAAGTGTTCATTTTCCAAAATGTCAAACTATTCACATGAGTCTAATGAAGGAAAGGCACACACATCCCCGAGGCCCACTGGGTTGGGTGCTGGATCACAAAATGGTCAAAAATGAGAAAAGAAAAGAAGAACGATCCGCAAACTAAAAACAGGCTCCCTTATACAATTTATTGGCATGAGGTTTCGAGCACAATGCTCTTCCTCAGACTGCAGCCTGAGGAAGACCATTGTGCTCTTCCAGATGCCGGATGTTCGCGTAACTTGGCACAAAGACTGGAAATGAAAGAAAAAATGGCTAAAAAATTTGCTTATCAGCATTAAGGATTCCACACAGAAAGGTCCCATCTGTCTGTCTGGTGGGTTTAATCCACCAATTAACATATTCTATATTTGTTAAATACAAAAGGTCAAAAATGCGACTGCAGTCTGAGGAAGAGCATTGTGCTCGAAACGTCACGCCAATAAATTGTATAAGGGAGCCTGTTTTTGGTGTGCGGATCGTTCTTCTTTTCTAAACTATTCACATGAGCCTACCATATTCTGTGACAGCCGTCCCTCCTCATCAAAGTGACGCTCCACATATTCTGTAGACAGCAGATCGCTGGAAAGAAAAGGAGAAAAAAAGTTTCAACCTGAATCCAACAGCACTGTGACCGACTGAAGCACAACTATAACACTACGTGACTATTAAAGGCCACTGTGGTCGCTCTTTTATTAACCGGTGTCGAGCATTAAGACTTGCGCCGGTCTAGGAAACAAATGGCTGACTCATAGCAAAAACGTGTGAAGAATCATTTATTCGAAAGCCAATAAAAGGTATCCCATAAATGCAGTCCATTAGAGCGAATTGTGCATCGAGAGAGAAGCGAGGGAGGATATGTTTACAGAGATGCTTCGCCTGCAGCCGGTCCGTCTACATGTACAGCAGGTGGGTGGGAGAGACGATGGAAGATCATAGTGAAAGTGAGTACAGTCATGTCAGGCACTGCTGTGAGTAAACTATTAAAGCGTTGCCTGATGGCTCTGTGGTGCGGACGTTGGACTATTCTGCAGGCGTGTGATGACTTACTGGTTGAGTTCCAGGTCAAGGATGAAGGACGTGTCGAAGGCCTTCACCAAGAAGCTGCTCTGGGCCAGATGGATGGGCTACGAGAGGGATGGAAGGAGGAGACGGTGAGGAAATGTCCAGGGACTGAGAAAGCGATTAAAGTAGCAGTTAAAGTTCTGTTACATGCATCTCAGTTTCTCACTACATACTAATTTATACAACTATTTTTGCAGTGAGTATACAAGAAACCCCCCTCCCCACTTTTATACCAACATAAAATGATAAAATGCATGAATGCCACGAGCTCATTACGGTCAGCATGTCAGAGAAACTACTTTTAAGCCACCAGACAAATCCAGCATGTACTGTTTAAAGTGTCCACCAGCTCCTCAGCAAGCATTTCATTAAAAACTTGGTCACACAGCACAACAGGTTTTGAAATTACGCTACGGTAGCATTGAAAGAGAACCAAAACACAGAGATTGTGGGCAAGACGGTGAAACAATGAGTTTCCTCAGTGATGTTGGTCATTTGATAGACTGTTAAATAAAAAGTGCAAATTACACCTAAAGTTATTGGCTATTATAAGTACTACAGAGGGTTTCTTTTAAGGAGTGGGTCTTTGTTTAGTTTGCTCATGGTTGACATCCATTTCACACTCTATCCAGCTGCTGGTTCAATGTCCTGAAAAATGCTGTGGAAAGAAGACGACGCCTAGCTCGAAAAAATGCACACTGAGGAAAAAAAAGTTGGCTTTGCAAATGTTTTCTGAAAAAGGAGTTAGGCCATAATGATTTTTTTTTTTTTTTTGAGAAACCCTGAATGTAAGCTTTTGTGCATTTACAATAAATCTCCATAACAGATATAAAAAATCCCCAAAATCCAGTCATTATATTATATTCCTACACCTGGCATGTTAAAAAAAAATCACAGATATGCACCAATAAAAGCTCATAATTTAAACCTTGATTTGATAAAGAAAAGAACTTAGCAAGCATAACAACAGGATCCTTCTTTCAAGATGAACAGAAATGCAGGAGGTGCTGCACGTATAGAGAAGATAGAAGCAGCAGGGATTGAATTACAGCATGAACAATGTCCTTATGTCTTTACAAGTCAAGGTCATGTGGTAATTGTGCGTCGTAATGTCTCATGACTCTGTCAGCGAGATGGCCAAGCTGTCTGGTGGACAAAGGTGAAGCTTTCCAATGATGTCCACCAGGACAGAAACTAAAAATAAGTATTTAGACGCTTCCTTTTATCTTATATAGTTCAGATTGCAGCACAGCGTTGGTCCCAGACACCGAATCAAACAAATGACTCGCTAATTTCTGAAGTATTTCATTTTACAAATTGTGATTGAAAAAAAAATGTGACAGAATACAACGAGTTGAGAAGAGACGAAACCGACGGATGTTTGATAGGAAATTATTTGAAGGCGCCAAAGAGAGAAATGACGTCCTCCTCCAGCCTCTTCTCCCCGGAGACGTGACGGCTCATCCGTTCCAGAGGCTTTTTGGATAAAGCTCTGTGCCGGGGCTCGTCGCGTCGGTCTAACCTTCCTCCAAGGTGAACCCCATCCCCATTATAAGACGGAGCTGCGTGGCGGCTCCCATCAGTACTTACTGGGCAAGTCTCATTAGTATTACCCTGCACTCTCTGCAAACCACTTAGTATCAGTCTAAACCTCCGCTGGGTCCATATACTGCTCCAGCCAAAGACCACAGTGGTGCTTGTGTGCAGCAATAAGAAAGCCCCATCAGAGCTTTGACTGTGAAGAAGCTTATTGCAGAATGATTTACCATCAAATCCCAAAAGAGCGAATTCTGGTCACATTACAGGCAACACCGTGTCTCAGCTCCAGATAACCTTCATGGACACAAACAAGATCAAACTGGTCCAAACTTATTACTTGGCAAAGGATTTTAAAATATGTTGGTAAGACGTGAACATCAAGCTTGTTGATTTATTTATTTACATTTTTACAGACAAAAACCTTCCCCTCAAAAATGACTAACCAAAAGTTTCTACTTGTTTTGAGAAAGAGTCTTTATCCTAATTTACAGCATTCCTATCTTTATCCTTGTTTTTCTGTAGATCAGAAACAGATCAAAGCAAAGAATGTTAATTACATGTCAGTGTGTTCTGTTTCAGGAAGCAGGTTCAACAAACTCTGAACTGTTCAACCTCGTGATGGGAAACTGAGTTCAGCTGACCAGCGTTCAGTCAACTCTGAGGAAGTTAATGCCACCATTAATTGAGCTCCGATATCATGATTCACTGTGACGACGGGTAAATGAAGAGCAGAGCCTCCGTTTTAACCCACTGCAGGCAGCAATAATGTGTAAAAGCACATTTATCCTTAAAAACACAGCAGCACCAGTGAAGGAAGTACGATCGGTCGTCTCATTCATCATTTAGCAGCTTGAACTTTCTTAATGAATAAAGTGCTGGAATCTGGCGGCACGTTAAATAATAAATATACGTATTGAGTAGTAACTGAGGCCTAAAATATAGATCAAACAGATAAAGTTTATTTAGAGACCTGTCATTTCAACAGCCAGTAATAATGCATACCGACATGTAAAGATGATTTACAGTTAAATAAGCACCTAGATTTTTAAAAATATAGATATTGTAGCAGGGCTGCAAGGTGGGCTTGTAGCTAGAAGGTCACTGGTTCGCGTCCCAGTGAGGATCTGGGATCTTTCTGCATGGAGTCTCCATGTTCTCCCCATGCAGCGTGGGTTCTCTCCTGGTTCTCTGACTTCCTCCCACAGTCCAAAAACATGTTGAGGTTAATTGGTGATTCTAAATTGTCCGTAGGTGTGAATGTGAGTGTGCTTGGTTGTCTGTCTCTAAGTGTAGCCCTGTGATAGACTGGTTACCTGTCCAGGTGGACCTGCCTTCACCCTGAGTCAGCTGAGATAGACTCCAGCCCCCCATGACCCTAGAGAGGATTAAGGTGTATAGATGATGGATGGATGGATAATTTAGCATCTATTTTACATTTAGAGTGGCTGTGGCTCAGGTGGTAGAGCGAGTTGGTCAATGAACGGAAGGTTGGTGGTTCGACTCCACCCTGTCACTTGTGTCGTGGTCGTCGTGTCAAGACACTTCACCCACCTTGCCTGGTATGAATGGATTGTTTGAGGTGGTGGTCAGAGGGGCAGAACGGCAGCCACGCCTCTGTCAGTCTGCCCCGGGCTTTGAGTGCCGAGAAAAGCGCGACACAAAAATGATCAATTATGATGATTATATAAATGTTGCTCAACAGCGTTTAATGATAATAATGGCACTGCACGGTGTAATAAATGTAATCATGCCTCGTGCCTCGTTCCTAGCAGCAGATGACAAAGTTGGCAATTAAGGGGAATACAAAGAGCTGCTAAAGAGCCAAATGTTTCCCCGAGGAGTTAGTAGGAACCAAAAATAAAGCTAAAACCCAGCGAACATTAGACTTTCAGGATTATATGATGAAGTTCTTCTGCAATTGCTAGAGGTAGAAATAAGCACCTGTTTGTAATAAAGCCACATCATATGTCGGTGTTCACAATAAGGTCGAACAATTTTGCAAAAACATTTGCGATTTTTCAGACAGATATTGCAGTATTATTTTTTAAAGGCAGTTCAGCATTCACTGCATAATAGATGCCAAATTATATCTCTTGAGTCACCATCAAAACAATCATCACATTATTACAGCATAAAATATGGTTACCTGTAAATATATTTGTGTAATGTGAGCCTGTGTTTGAATGACACCATCTCAGGAGCTGTTAGACAGAAAAGCCTGAAATGTTCACACTTATTTCTCATCGTGCCATTAATTCAGAATACTGGACAAGTAGATCAAATAATCTAATTAATCTAGTGATATTTTCTAAACCATGTGCAGTCTCATGTCACATTAACACGGAACCAAATGTCGAGAAGACTGTAAAATACTTGGTATCACAAAAATGCAAAAAAATAAAAAGTTCCTGTGCAACTTTCAGAACTGAGCAGGTATGACAGAGAAGTGGACGTAGAAAAGGGTTCTAGAGATTCAAAATGGTTCCCCATATATAATATAAATATAATATTTTAATAAGGACATATTAATTTGTGGTACCCACTTTGTAGGCATAAACCTGAGTTTAGAGGAGACTTGGCGTGCAGCTTTGTGTAATTTCTTTTTCGCATAATATAATATTAATAACAATAGTAATAATAATTATAATAATAATAATAATAATAAAAATGCTATTGTTGCTGCTGCTGCCGTTGCAATCCAAACTACGATTTGAAACGGCTTCATTGTTCAGCCTGAGTCCACAAGTTGCTTCTACTGCCCCCTTCTAGTGGTTTCAAAGTAAAATACTTCTTAATTGTCTCCTTCAGTTTTCAAAGTTGGTCTCTGCAGCTTTTAAACAGCCACTTTATCTAAATGTTCATTTCAACCTGAAAGCACTGATGGATGTTTCTAAGTCCAACATGCTGACAGATGACATCAAATTTACATTTAAATTTACGTGACAAACGCATGTAGTGATTATTTTCCACCTGCACAAAACATAATCATCGTGCGCTGACAGCTCTGAGCCTCCCCATCTAAATTCACGTCTAGAGGTCACGAGACGCCGCGCCGCTGACCGCAGAGGGCAGCCCAAGGTCAAGGCTGTGTCATATCCACTGACCGAGAGGCCGGCCGCTGACTGACAGCGTTTGTAGGGACGGTAACAGGAGAGGACAGGCAGAGGTGTGAAATATAATCTAATGGGGTGGAAAAGAGCCGGGGACTGAGGCGGGGGGGTGGGCCGAGGTGTTTCAGGGTCGTGACCTGGGCCTGCTGAGCATCATGTGGGGGGTGTGGGG